AGTCACTTCGCTGTCCCTAAACTACGGCCCTTGATAGACACTGGACTATATTCATCACTTTTCGAATGTCATTCAGTACATCAAAGATAATCTAAATGTGGTAACCGATTCCCCTTCTCGATGTGACTTAAACCAACCGTGCAATTAACCTGCTGTATTGGTTTATACTTTGTGATCAATAAATCCTCGACTTGTATTCCGCCTTTTAATATGGCTTGTGTTGAAATCGAATTTTTTTTTATATGCGTAGAGTAGTGTTCTGTCCCGGAGAGTTGCCTTCTGGCTACAGAAGATTTTCGTGATACTAATTTCGACAGTTTCCGATATGATCATCTGGAACTGTGTGGTTGCCGAGTTCCTGTTTTACTGCAACTGTTGGTATTCCCTGGTCTGTTTTTTTTCTGAATTTACTTGCTCAACGTTCTTCTTGTTCGGTAAGGAACTACCGGCAGTTTAATTTGGTCCCTCTGTATCCACTTATCTGGAAATTATCATTAGTCTGGTCTGTTCGTTCGTGGTCCTCATTTCTTTTTCTGGGATCAAGCATTGTGCGGTAAATGCCTTCTTAAGAAAGTGAAGTGGCCTTATTGATATTGTTCAAATAATTTGCCTTATAAATGTCTTTTGTAAATGGATAATTGTAATTATACTTACTCCATGTATATATTATCACATCGATTATCCCTGTAAACTGGCGTCCTCCATGTACAAAAACTGGGGATAAATTATCAATACCAGAGTGAACTATTATAATAATTGTTATATTAATTTGGTAAGTTTTTACGGAAAATGCATGCCAATTTTATAGACACGATCAATTATGTTACAAAATACAATTGTGAACTGGGATAGATTAGCACCTTTCAAAAGTTCAAATTGTTGAATTATTGTACGAAGAATCAGAAAACATTCTTATAAATATTAAATTCTTAACTCTTGTGTTGTACTTTGGTAGACCACCTTCAAGTCATCGGCATATAAGAAGGGTCTGTCGTGCTTTATAATATCACAGATGTCATTTGGGTATATAAGAAGGAACAGAGGCCCTAATACACTACCTTGAATTACGCCACCTGGTATAGGAGTAGTACTAGAAAAAGTATCGTTAATCTTAACAGACTGGGATCGACCACATATAAATGAATTACACTACTGTAAGAGATTGCCAGATATACCGTAAGCCTTAAGTTTTTCAGGAGTAAATTATTTTGATATACTTTATCGAATGCCTTCTTAAGAAAATGATAATAGCAGCTTTATTCCAAACAGTATTTGTGTTACAGGTATGGAATTTTCAGCTTGCATTACAATACATTGCATCTAATTACCTCATAAATTTTAATAAGATTTTAAAATCAAAATGCAACACCCAAAGAAAAGATAAACAAAAATAAATAAAATGAACAGCGTTGCGTTTACATTTTAAACAATGCACCACAGGATAAGAAATATAAAATTAGTGTGGAATATAAGATTAGAACAACAGTGTCATAGTAACGAGGAAAGGAAAACAAAAATTAATGTGACTATTTGTTAGAGTGCCGCAGTGAGTTGATCGTGTCATACCTAACGGATTTCTCATCACATAACAGATGTGCCAGATATGGTATTGTGGAGTTTTGTACTTGGTAGTCCTAGCATATAGCCTCCTATAGCTGCTTCTAGTTCTACCAGATCAAATACAAGGAGAGAGATGCGTATAGAGAGGATGCTCGGGGTCTGACAATATTGTATTCAATATACATAATGAGCACGATGAATTTTTGGTCTGTAAATCCAGTTATAATAGCAAATAGTATCAAGTGGCAAATCACACATGATCTGGATTTTATAAAACCATGCTGAGAAGGTGTTATGAGGTTTTCAGTCAATAAGAAATCAGTGATTTTGGTACTGATTATCTTCTCAAGTATCCTTCACAAGATAGATGTTATATTGATTGACCTGTAGTTCTTTACGTAATATTTTGATCCGGATTTAAATCTTGGAGTAATATGTGTCTGCTTGCATTTGAAAGGATAAACTCCGTTCATAATGGACGTTGAAAACATTTTAAGCAAAAGGAGAGGGAGACGGGAGCCACCAATTTTTAGGAAGGATGATGCAATGGAGTCAGGTCCAGGAGTATTGAGAACGCACTGCACTTTCTATTGTATCAACAGTCAAGATATATTTGACAGTGTTTTGCCTGTTACAGGATCAAATTCGATGCACGCAGAAATATCGTGCGTGTATGAGTCAGAAAAGTGCTTGTTAAAGAGATCAGCTATGTCTACATCATCCTTAATAGCAACATTATTATGAAGAATGTAGGGAATGTTACATTGTTTTTGTTGCAGTCGTTTTGGAAGAGTTTGCAAAGAGGGCTAATTTTGCAGTTACTTTTAAGGGCAACAAGTTCTTCTTTGTAAATTTTACTAGCATTTTCCGATCTGATTTTATCATATACCCTTAAGATGCTAATGAGCGAGAAGTCCGTAGATTATTATCGCCCGGGTATCAGCTGCTGATTGCTGCGGATGAAAGTAATACGTCCAAATGCCTATCTGGGACGACGATATGCTTGACGTTGTGTTCTGCCGTGACGTAATCCCTGCTTCCACTGTGCCGAGGTGCTGTGGCTGCTAAAGTGATGGTAAAATGACATAAGCTCCAAGCTGAGTAAATTCCGAATGCATGCCTCAATAAGAAAATATCTGTCGAAACTACACTATTCTGCTAAGGATATATCACTGCTTCCCTCACTCTATGAGTCCCTTGATTCCATCAAGTGGTTAATCTTCTCAAAATGACCTTAATGAGGAATAAGGCGCACTTAGAAGTTATTTTACAGCTTATGATTTGACAAGTCTTCTTGAAAAACGAATGCGATCGATAAGCCACATTCCTCACTTGCTTCACGATATTGTTAACTACAGCAGTCCTGCCACCATCTGTGAAAGTTTCAGTGAGTGTTTTACTAATTTTAGTCTAGAAACACCCTCATATAAAGCTATACCCTTCATTAACTCCTCTCTCAGAAGCATAGTGTTCATCAGTAAGTTGATGGGACTGTATGTTGAGGACCTTCTATCAGATTGGTACCAGAAAGCCCAATTCTCAAAATTTGCGGGTATTACGTCCCTTTCATAATTCTTAAGATTTTTTCGATATCTATGGACAATGGCACGCCCTCTAGTAAGTGAAAGCAATCTTTATAGTTCCACATTAAAAATTTGGTGATAAAGCTAAATTTTTCAGTTACAGGCTATAAACATACACTTTAGTCATCTTACAAGTCATGGAGAAAGTTACTGGGGATCAGTTATCAGGTTATCTACTTAGAGGAGATGTTACCACAAAGTCTCAACATGGACTTCTCGAACATAGGCCATGCGTAGCTTGTCAACCTGACTTTTTTCAACTGAATTTCCATTAGCCACCGAGCACTTACACAAGCCATTGTTCTTTACTTCTTCTTTACTTTTGACATGCTATCCTACAGTATTCTCATCGAGAAGCTGAAATCTTGTGGGATTTGTGATCCACTACTTAACGGATTGGAATAATTTCCTAGCAACAGGGTGCATATAACAATCGGTATTATCTCACCCTAGAGAGAACACAAGTACCCTATAGGTTTGTACAAGGTAGTATCCTAGTGTTACATTAGAAGACGAGAGACTTGGCAAGGGAATGTTAATTTGGTATATGGTGTCCGCATATATCGAAGTCATGTGTACCTTATATGAAAATGGTCATTCGCACATATCTTCCGTATCGTGTTACTTCTGCTCTTCGTTGTATTTCTTTGTCTTTCCATGTTTCCTAGGCTTGGGTTCAACGTTGGTTCATTTGCTCCCTTCGAGGTCAAATCTACCTCTCCACTATCTCTCATTTTTGCGTGGCGATTAATGCATACATTCATATACATAGCATGTATGCTATCGATAAATTTTATCAGTAGCACACTCTACACTGGGACCAGTTCTGCTTATTGTTTGCACCAACAGCATTTATAACTACCTGGTGTAAACCATTTCTTCATGTTGACAACCTCGAAATCGTTTACTCCTGCTATACTCATAGCATATCCTGAGTGACGGTGGTTTATACGATTTATCACCCAGACCGCAGCACCACCAAGCTTACAACAATTCTAAACTTATTCTAACCTATTCCCCGATGATGCCTTTTTATGGTAACTGAAGATCTTATTTACCCACTATGTTCTGAAATGACACAGGTCGTGCTTAAAAAGACAGCTGCGTGCTGAATCAAAACTTTCCGCTCTGGAGTAACGTTAGTCCATACTGAATATGTCCTGTGAGGGCAGGAGCAACGTTGATAAGCAAACCCAGCAGGTTCGATTTAGTGCCACTCATGCTGAAAAATCAGCGCACAGTTTCACTGTCAAACAATGGCAAAACAGCAAGAAAGTTTAATGTTACTATTATTAGCAAAGTCTATGTTACTATATTGGTATAGTATACGTTAATTAGCTCAATGACTGCAGGTTTACTATAATCCTTGACTACCAACATAGTAACTGGGAACTTCAGGCTATAAACCAAGCTTGTTATAATTCTGAATTAAATCTTAGTAATTCTGAAATAATTCTAGCATCCTATAGTGAGTAAATTCTGAATTTGTTCTGAAATCGTTTCTTTAATGGCACAGACTAGAACTCAGTGCTAGTTTTCAGAATAACTAGCGCGAATTCAGAACCGTGTTCTTTTTTTAAGCATTGTTAGGAGTAGATCAGAACCTACCGGGTTTGCTTGTCAGTTTTATTTCAGCCCTTTCAGAACATTTTCAGCACTGACTAGCACTAATTCAGAACGAAAAGACTAAATTCAGCACATAGTGGCAATTTTTTCAGCCGAATTCAAGCCTTCGCAGATCATTTTCAGCACTGACTCGCATTACTTTAGAACGAAAAGACTTCTACTTATTATCATCACCTGTGTCCTACGCCGGCGAAATTCATTTAGTTTGCAGAAGAAATCAGTTTTTATAATTGAGACTTTTGTATTTATAAACTGTAGTACAACGTCACTGCAATCCCGTCAAGTGTGATCCACTGGCAGCATCCTGCAAATAAGCAGAATAAAATATTAGTGGGTGAAAAATTGTGCTCAGCACATTCTGAGCATTTACATTTATAGAAGTTTACTTACATAAGTGCCACTGTTATATCTCCCGGTTTCTTTTTCATTTGCCTAAAAAAGAAAACAATATTGTGATTACTACATGTTGAACAAACGTTCACTTATAGAAGTAAGCAGGCGTTTCGCAATATTACCTGAATTCCTTGCTTCCGCTTACGCCATTGGACACGATCTTTCAAATTATGAAAGTACGATTTCGTGGCCCTATCCATCATTTCACCAATCTCTCTTGTCGTCATTAATTGGCCGGAGAAGTGCGACATAACTAAAGCTAGAGAACTAATTACTTCATTAATGAAACTTACTTCTCATTATTTTATAAAAGGCATAAGGCACAATCTGTCTGTCTGTCTGTTTTCGACATAGAACTTTGCACAAATGTGCGGAAGTTCAAGTCGCCACATTCCGTGTAGCACGCGAAGCAAGAGAAGAAAGTACAAGAAAAGCATAATAGAAACAGTGAGCAGAGGTGTGAGACAAAGGAGTAATAAAGAAATACAAAACAATTTCATTGAAGATCATAAGTCACAGGGAGTGGATGCATCTGCGCCACTGAGAACGATTTTGAGCCATGTCACCAATTGTTTCCAACCATAGATTTTTGCCGTCCCGAGGACTCCAGCCTGGAAGTCTACACCTTCCTACGTTGCTAAGACCAACTGTTGTGGATTTCATTGACTGATGCCAAGTTTTTGTTTGACCGCCGCTAGCTTTCTTCCAGTCTGACCCTATATCCGCTAACATAGCTCGTCGAGGGAGGCGATGACTTGGCATACGTAACACATGTCCTAACCATCTCAGTCGATGTAGCTTCACGACTTCGTCGATTGATTTCCCCTGTTTACCTAGAACTCTACGCCTAACCTCCATGTTGCTCACCTTATTATGCCACTTTACACGGGAAATAGAACGCAGGCACCTATGATCAAAGACAGCTAGTCTTTTCATGTCTTCCACTCTCAGTGGCCAGGTCTCACAGCTGGCCATAAAGGAGGACGGAGCGGACTGATGAGCAGTACACCCGCCCTTTGGTCGATAGTCAAACATCTCGTCTACGCCAGAGTCGGCGTAAACTAACAAATGCGAAACGAGCCCCTTGTATTCGTGCTGAGATTTCGTCAGAGATCAGCCCGTTGGCACTGGCTGATGGTACTTCCCAAATAAGTGAAGCGGTCAACGTGCTCTACCACTTCACTTCCTATTTTTAAACTAGGCGTCGATGTAGTCCAGTCCTGTAACATCATCTTGCATTTGGCGGGTGCGAATCGCATGCCAAACATTCGTAGATTGCTGTTCAAGGTGTTTAGAAGACTCTGCATTTTGTCAGCGTCTTCGCCTAGAAGGACTATATCGTCTGCATATTCCAAGTCAACGAGATTATTCCCAGGTAGCAAGTCAATCCCTGAATCGCTGAAGTCACCTAGGGTTAAGTCCATTAACACATCTATGATGAAGTTGAATAGAAAAGGAGATAATGGGCATCCTTGACGGACACCACTGGTCGTCATCAGTTCAGATGACAGCTCGCCGTAAGCCCTCACCTGGCTGTATGAGTACGAATAGAGTGCCTTAATCAGTGCAATATATTTTCTTGGAATTCCCTTTACAGCCAAGCATCTCCAGAGAACTTCCCGATCGACAGAGTCGAATGCTGCCTTTAGGTCAAGAAATATAATGACTGTTGGACGCCGGTAGGAATGCCTATGTTCTAGAATCTGTCGGAGGATGAAGATATGATCAATACACCCTCTTCCTGGTCTAAAGCCTGCCTGGCTCTCTCGTGTTTGTGCTTCCCGAGCACCACTCAGTCTACGCATGATTATTGAGCCTAAGACTTTAGATACTATATTAGTCAAGCTAATCCCTCTGTGATTATCACAGGAAGACTTGTCTCCCTTCTTGTATATGGGGATAATCAGTGACTTACACCAACCCGATGGGACTTCTTCTGATCCCCAGACGCTGCCTAGTACCTCAGTTAATCCGGACAGTAAGCTGTCTCCACCGGCACAATGCTTGACTTTGTCAAAGCCCCCTGGAATGTGAACTTCAAACCCAATTCAGGTTTTATAACATGGTGCATCATGACCTTAAGTGATAACTTTGGATCACTCTGAAGGCAGCTGGCCATCTTAGCAGTCGACAAGAAATAAGAATTAAATACGTCAACTCACATATTGCTGTTTGTACTTTTCGTCTCTTAAAGATGCTTCCAGCATCTCTAACTGGTCTTCATTCTCGATCGGAAACTGCAGTGTTAAGTCCCCGTTTGCCGGAGGGTAGGTTTGCTGTCGAGATTTTCTATCAGTAGTCATAATGTTCAACATTTCCGTGCACAGGTTAATGATTTCCATATTTGTATCTTTAAATAAATAATTATTTTCAAGTAATTACCGAGTAATTTCTTAATTGAGGATTCAGTAGCATATTCTTTAGACGGCAATCTAAAGCATGAATAAAAATTGTGACAATTATTCCTACCGGTCACACACACACACGTCTTTTTGCCAATAGGAGATGAAGACTGGAATATGGGGGCACCCGAAGTACTGAAAATGAAGGGCTTTCAATTAGGTTAACACCTTGGAATTGGGGCCACGAAGTCATCAAATATGTTATAATCTGGATATTGTGGTTTGATGCAACCAACCTTATTTATATAAATAAGCTAAATAGTAGCATCCAGTGACAAAAACTGACCTACACACTGCAAAATGAACAAAACATCCAGAAAAACCTTTAAAATTCAATGGAAAACAAATTCACGAAAACATATAACTAGCCAACGCAGGAACTCATCATGACCTTGACACTGACTGTAGCCTCTTTCCCTCGATAAGTGATATGCAGTTTGAACTGAGCGGTCGTGCAGACTGAAATTATCCGTAACTTATCAAGGTCATTGGTGGAGTGAGACGCTTAAAGGTCATTTTCGTCCATGTTAGTCGGCCATGTTGGATTGCAGTTCCGTAGCTGTTCGTGTACGCGTTTGTTGTTCCGTTTATCCTGCCGTTATACACGACTAATCTTGTTGCGTATTATTCACAAATGTTGCATTTCACCGGTGACTCTAAAGAATAGCGGCCCAAACCGAAACGACCTTTTTTCGCAAAAATGACCTTGATAGGGACAACTTCGGCCAATGAGAAGGCTCAAAAAGAAAGGTGCATGATTGTAAAAAGCGGTCTATATAGAAGTAATGCAATCATAATAAACAATTACAAAGAATAGCGTTCGCGTATATGTTGCAAAAAAACCTCCCAGTTTCTCATGGGAGTCTTCATAGTCATATGAAACCAGTTTCGGTACATAAATTCATCCAGGTAACTGTGAATCATGGGATTTCTCGATCCATTAACCGCTCTTATACGTCTTTCTAGACGACTCCAAAATCTTTCACTGGAACTGGTGTGGGTTCCATCCATAGGCTTCCGGAAACCGTCCGTATGATTAACAACATGAAGAATGTACCCATGATTCGATAATTGACGGTATCCGCTCCATTCATCCGTATGAATGGTCGTCCCCGGCAACACCAAACGCTTATTAATAGGCACTAATACTATTCTTTAGAGTCACCATTTCACCTCATTTTTTGTTTCCGTTGCTGTGAAGCAGATGCATCGATTGAGCAGATGTTTAGGACAACACGTGTTACGCATGCCTGGCCATCGCCTTCCTCGATAAGAAATTTTGGCTGGCATAGAATCAGGTTGGAAAAGAGCTAGTGGTGGTCAAAGAAAAACAAGGCATCATTCCATGAAATCTTTGAGTATGTTTGAGCACTAGCCACAGATAGGGGGATGTAGACTGTTTGGTGGGTTGGGTGGTGTCTTTGGTATATTTTTCGCCCGGTACGTTCGAATCAGGTGACGCTTTTGCACGTGTTTTCGTTTATATTCATTTATTGGTTACTAATAATTGATCTTTAATAACGATGGTTCAAAATTCTAAAAAGCGTGTTCGTGTGAACACCAGTAATTTAGAAAATAGCACCGACTCGTCTAATAACACATTACCACCCCATATTATTAGTAGTTCACCCAACATAAAAGCCTCGAACATAACTCTGACCCCTGTAATACAGGTGGAAGATGTTCTGTCTGAAAAAGTAGAGCTCTCTTACTTAACGTGCGTAATTAAAGAGATGCAGCTACAGATAGATGAATTAAAAACGAAATTAAGTTCACTAGAATGTATACCCGAAACTGTCTCACGTATGAAAAAGGAACTGCAGGATCCTACAATCCTAAAGCTTTTTAATATGACCTCTAGAATGACTCATACTGACTCAGAAAGTGCGAAGGAGTTAGAAAACGCCATCGACTTTCTATCCAGCGAAGTTGTTAAAAGGCTGGCTTCAAAACAAAACGCAATAGTGTATAATGTACCGGATAGCGAGCCCATAAAGTCAGTCCAGCACTCATTGCTGAAGGCTGCAAATCTCTTGAATGCACCTTGTCAGTGCATTCGCCTAAGCAAAAAAGACCTAAAGCATCCTTGTCCTATACTCTTTAGGTTCGACAGCTACATAACAGCTGAACGATTTAAGATGGCCGAAGATCTTCTGGCTACTGCCACTAAATTCAAGACTATTAAAGTAGTCTCGGATAAAACACCAAACCAAAGGCAAGCAACCAAGAACTCCTTCGATACAAAGTTGACAACACTGAGAAATACATCTGGTATCAGTGCTAAAGTGTCGACGGACACTGAAGCACAGCAAGTCACGTGTATAGTGTTAGGAGAAAAAACGGCAAGTAAGAGCGACCCAAAACTCAGTAAGAGCAGTGCCACTGGGTGCAATCTTAGAGTGCACGAGAGCACATCTCGAAAACCTGCTGACCTACATAAGGTTGACATAGACGCACAAACTATGGCTGACCAGAAACTACTGGCAGACCACACTCAATCTGGATCCAAGCCAGAGAGTCCCTCAGTAGAAACCGCAAAAAAGACCACAAAACCCAGAGTCCCACCCCAGACTTCGACATACCTCCCTCGTAATAAGTCTAATAAGCAGCGTGTCAGTCTAAAAAATGACAAAGCATGGGTAACGAAGCACATTCCCAAAGACGTCACGCAGCATGTGAGAAGGAATACCCCTTCCCGAACTAGAAGTAACATGCCTAACAACGCACATAACTTGGGAATGCAACGTAGAATGGATCCTCAGGATATATGGAGCACTAAACGGGACTCATATAGGCACCATATTAACGAAAATCCTCGTCCAAACTCTCGCACTATCTATATTAAACCTCATCAACTTAATGAGAACAGGTCGGCACTTGATCCCCTCAATAACTTCACTCACAAACGTGACGTGAGCCAATATGCATATGGCTATGAAAGCCCCATGAGGTACAACTACCAGGGTAATCTTAACTCAGGGTACCTAGGTCCAGCAAACTACAACCCAAATTGCAGGGCAGACCATATATCACCAGTAGATCAACGCAGATGCCGACCCATGGATGCTAATAGTCAAAATATGCAACAGGATTATTTTCGGCTGCAGCAAACAATAGCCCCACTCGCTGCACAGTTCATCCAGGAAATAGTACACACACTGACTCTGTCTCACCTCAGAGCCCCTCCAAACATAACGTAGGGATAGTGACAAGTAACCATGTTAACCTCTCCTCCAATAACTCTGGTTTACTAACAATTATGCTCCTGAATGCTAGATCTCTCCTTAATAAAATAACAACGCTTCGCTGCCTGGCATACATAGAACGGCCAACACTAATAATGGTGACTGAAACCTGGCTTACTACTGATATACCTGACACAAAGCTGGTAATAGACAACTACGACATCTATAGGAACGATAGAGTTGACAAAAGAGGAGGCGGTTGCTTAATATATGCCTATAAATCCACTAACTCCAATACTTTCAATAACCCAAATACTGACAAACTCCCAGAATCTAAGTGGATAAGCATCCACACAAACGAAAGTAAAATTCTCGTGGGATGTATATACAGACCCCCCAATAGCCCTGAAATGACTGATATAACTATTGCAGAAATACTAGAGCATGTAGCCACGCTGGACTTCGACTACAAAGTAGTATGTGGAGATTTCAACTTACCTGGAGTAAACTGGGATACCTGTACAGGACCAAGAATCCATGAAGAGCTACTACAAGCTATAGACATAGGAGGATGGAAGCAGTGCGTGCGCCTCCCTACAAGGAACCAAAATACTCTTGACTTAATCCTCTGTCATAACATAGAGCCCATCTCGATAGAGGTGGGAAATAAACTCGATAACAGTGATCACAACATATTGTACTGCACGCTACCCCTCCGACTAACAACTAAATACACACCTAAAAATTCCCCGGTGCGCTATCAATATAGGGACTATAAGAATGCTGATTGGGAATTCCTATCAGATCTGTTGAGAAGTTCTGACTGGGAAGAATACTTCATCAACAATAACTTAGAAGCATCACTTGAGATTTTCTACAAAACAGTTGGCTCAGCAAGAGACACAATCGCGCCCCTAAAATCTGCCCTAAAGACACCAACTCCATTTATTGACCGGAAAACGCGACTAAAACTAAAGAAATTGAAAAGGAAATACCATGTATTTAAGGAATTTAATGCGTTAAACCAAATACATGAAACTCTTAAACTGCTTGAAGAGAAACACAAAATGAAGTCACAACATGAGGAAAATAAAGCGCTAATGGGTAACACCAAAACTCAGGAACTTTGTAGGATATTGCAAAAACGTCTAAAAAGCAGTAAAGACAATAATGTAAGCATCTTGGAACATAGGGGTGTAATATACAACGATCCCCAGGTTATAAGTGAACTCCTCAGTGAGTGGTTTTGCAATGACACCAGAGTGCACCCGACCCCAAATTTCCAAATGACCTGCAAAAGTAACCACAAATTAGGAGAAATAGATTTTAATATACAAAATATAGACTCAGCGATTAAGACATTGAAGTCAAATGGCAGTACTGGAACAGACGACATACCATCTGTCATATACAAAAATGGTAGCACGGAAATGGTAGTCTTGTTACTTAGAATATTTACTCTGTCACTGGAAACTGGAACTTATCCTGAAGTGTGGAAAACCACATACATACTACCTAAGCACAAAGCAGGGGCCAAAACCAGTGCATGCAACTATAGACCTATTAATATAACACCGGTAATATCACGAATAATGGAGAAAGTGGTTAAAGACCAAGTGTCAGACAACTTACTAGAACATGAACTTATCAACCCATCACAACACGGATTCCTCAAAAAGAGATCATGTGCGACCTGTCACATAGACTTTTTCAATGAAGTTACACGAAGCAGGGACAACAGAGAACTAGTAATTGTGCTATAT